CCCCATGCCCACCCACGTGGCGCTGGCCCTGCTGTCCTGCACTTCCCTGCTGGCAGGAACCAGTCTGTCCCTGTGTCCCTGCTGGCTCAGGGGGCTTCTGTGCTCACTTTTTCACTGTTGCAAACCAAGAAGCAGAGAGTGGCCCTGTCCGTGTTGCAGCACCATATTTTAATGCGGGTAGAAAAAGAGCGGTGTTAGTGGGCACCCGGCCTCTGGGCAGCCTTCCTCATGCCTGCCCTGCCCTGCCTGCTCTACCAAAGGTCCAGCTCCCTCTCCACATGGCCATCCTGCCCTCTTTGCCCTCACTGACCTGCCTGCTGCCTGACACCCCATCTCCCTGTGTCTCCCAAGTCCACTTTCCCAGGGCATTGGAGTGCCCTGCCCACCTCACCACCGCCGCCACGTTGGCCCTGGCCAGGGGCTTCTTGAAGAGGAGGGCATACTCCACCACTTTGCAGCCTGTGTTCCTTCCACTTCTGTGTGTCCAGAATGAGCCACCTGTCTGCTGCAGCCAGGCCTGGGTTTCAGGGCCCTCCACCCACCACCTGCATGGCCCTGGTCAGGCTCACTGCCTCCTCTCCTCCCCAGCACCTTTCATAAAGCTCAGGAGACCAGGGCACCTGTGTGCTCCAACTCCCCTTCCCGGAAGCCTTCCCTAGAGTCCAGGGCATGCCCTAGCAGGCTGGGCACAGTGGCAGGGAGCCCCAGCACGATGGGAGGAAGGGCCCTCAGGCCAGCTGGCAGCCAGGCCTGAGTCTGGATCCTGGCCACTGACCCTGGACAGCCTCTCTGCTCACCCCTTCGGCCTTCCTGAGGCTGTAGTGAGGAGGGTGGCAGGGGCGCGGCATGGCCCAAGGCTTGGGCAAGCAGGCGTCCGCCTCCTGGGGCCGGTGGGGGCTCTGGACATCCCACTCGCGGCATACAACGAAACCGTTAGTCTCCATGGACCAGCCCCACTTCCTGTTCCTGCTTCCTCCTGGGAGAGGCCACCAGGCACTCAAACTGGCCCCAGTCCCTCTGCTGCTGCCTTGGGCCCCTCTGGCTTCTGAGCTAGCAGGTGGCTCCCCTGCACCCCGGGAGTCAGACAGTCCCTAGAGCATACTGCACCTGACCTTCCTGCTACTACGAGTGAATGACATAGGGGAGAGGTTCTCTTTTCAGCCATCTGTATTTTTCTGTATTTTCTCATTTCTTTGAAGACATCTTCTTTAAAGACGAGGTCAAGCACACCTTCACCCAGCCAAAACTTCATCAGCTGACAATGAATCTCACCTGCCCATGTGCCCACATCCCCTTCGGGGTTTCTCTTACTGAGAATGCCGGCGCCCACCCTGCCTGGGGAGGAGCAGGGATGGACCATGGCTGTTCACTTCAGTGCTGATGTGACGGCCCCTGGGCCCCACCAGCGACACTTCCCCTCTCTGGCCCAGACCCAGCTGGGCGGCAGCAGCCGTGCTCTTGCCCCTCCCCCAGCCCTCCTTTCTCCAAGCCACCCCACATCAGAGGCTTCCTAGAGAGACCTGGCCAACTGCTCTTTCATCCACGTCACCCCAGGGGCAGGCCTATCTGCAGCCCCTCTCCTGAGATTTTCTTCCATGCCCAGATCTCAGAGACATATCACAGCCCCAGTGGGAAAAGGTGGTATCCCTGGGGACGAAGTTGACAAGGCGTGACCACTGGGATCCAAGCCACACAGCAGGGTGTGCACCTGTGTCCCAAGTTCAAGGATGGCCAGAGGAGAAAACACTTTGACTGGAAAGAAAAGCAGGAAAGAGCAGGAGGAAGAAAAGTTAAAAAGAAGAAATAAGAAAACACAGGAAAAATACAGGTGGATGAAAAGAGAACCTAACCTCCCCCCTCTGTCATTCACTCGCTCCCTCAAATCATCATGGAGCCCTTGGACTGGAATCCTGAACTAGCCCTGGGAAGGGACTTGTGGAGGAGGCCACTCTGGGTAAGCAGACAGGTGACCCCTTGGGGACCGTTCCTGACTTAGGACCCCTCCTTGCTGTGTGCCCCCCAGGCCAGCTATGGGGTAAATCGGAGGTGGTGGCAACACCCCAGCAGCCTCCGCCACGCCAAAGACATCTTGTTGTCCAGCTTTGCCGTGAGGCTGTGGACGTGTCTATTTTCACTGAAAGTACAGAAATCACTTCTGAGAAGCTGGCGCAGCAGCCGGGGCCTGGCCTGTGCCTCTGCCTTGGGTGAACATGAGCCCTGGAAAGCTGAGTAGGAGGCAAGGCATGGTGGCTCACGCCTGAAATCCCAGCATTTTGGGAGGTCAAGGCGGGAAGATTGCTTGAGTCCAGGAGTTCAAGACCAGCCTGGCCAACATGCCACAACTCCTTCTCTACCAAAAATACATTAGCTGGGTGTGGTGGCACATGCCAGTAGTCCCAGCTGTTCTGGAGGCTGAGATGGGAGGATTGCTTGAGCCTGGGAGGTCAAGGCTGCAGCGAGCCCTAATTATGCCACTGCACTCCAGCCTGGCAACAGAGTGAGACCCTGTCTCAAAAAAAAGAAAGGCTAAGTGGGGATGGCAGGGGTGGAGATCACCCACCTGGAGCCCACCTGCTGGGGGCTCACCTAGACCTCCTTGCTCAGAGCATACCAGGTGCCCACCAACCCCCAGGTGGAGCACAGGAGCCAGGCCATGTGCCATCCTGGAGGCTATGAAGGGACTGTCACTGAGGTCTGTGCCAGAGCACTTAAGCACCTTATGCTAATCTGCTCTTGGGACACACGGGGATGCAGAATCAGAGGCCCCAGCTGAGGCCACAACCCCTTCATCACAATTGTCACAAATGCACTGTCCCATCTCCAGCTCACCTATTCCGTGGTGGTTCCCACCACCTTCCATGCCCAGCTCTGTCATCTGCCGCTCTGCCACCCGCCTTGACCTATGCCACTGACTTGCAGCTGGAGGGCCTGCAGCTCTTTGTCCATTTCTGTTTTCTCCTTTCTACATACTCAGCTTAAAGCTCCCAGCACTTTTGGGGGCAGCCCATGAATCTAAACTCCCCAAGAAATTCTACAAGAGACATTTAGTGATGTCCCCTGCACCGGCTGGCAAATGACCTTCATGTGTAAGTTATGGTCCAGTCTTCCAAATGCCCTTCTCAAGGACATGAATCCTTGTTTAACAATCCGATCCCATCCAGAAGAGTACAGACAGCTCTCCAACACTGAATGCTAAGTGAACAATCATGGGGGGGATGGTGATGATACATCTTCCATTTTGCTTACAATTATCTTCATTTCAACAGCTTTGCTCAGTGGTCCCAAATCCCCGGCCAATAAACGGCTCTGGTACTTTGTTTTTTGAAAGCGTTCACTTTGTTCCCTTTCTCCGTAATCAGTTCCTTTTAACCAAAACCTTTCACCTCTTTTGAAGTCATTGGCCTGTGAATCCAGCACTGGCCATGTAATCCAGAAGGCACCCATAACACAGGTCCCTATGCCCTTTGAGCAGAACTCCCCGCCCCTGCACCCCCAATCCTGCAGAGCTGAGACAGGCAGGTGGCTGAGGAATGCAGGTGAAAGGTCAGCTTGATGCAACGTGCATTGCCAGTTTTCAAAACATGCCCCAGAAAAACGGAGATATGGGAATTGCCACTGCCATATAAAACAAACAATAAAACTTGATACGTGACAACAGACTTCCAAGAAAATGGCCTTTATAGCAACTGAAATATGTAAATAATTTGAGTGGAGCGGAAGCCTTTCCACATAACAATCAACAGGTATGGAGACACTAATAAGTAAGTGGGTGGGAACGGAGGTAGGTAAGACACACAGATTCCTTTTTGTGCTTTGAATAATGAAGATACAGAACATTCTTTTTTTTTTTTTTTTTTTTAAGATGAAGTTTCGCTCCACCACCCCGGTTAGAGTGCAGTAGCACGATCTCGGCTCACAGCAACATCTGCCTTCCAGGTTCAGGCAATTCTCCTGCCTCAGCCTCCCAAGGAGCTGGGATTACAGGCATGCGTCACCACACCTGGCTAATTTTGCATTTTTAGTAGAGACGGGTTTTTACCAGGTTGGCCAGGCTGATCGCGAACTCCTGATCTCAAGCAAACTGTCCACCTTGGCCTCCCAAAGTGCTAGGATTACAGGCATCAGCCACTGCGGCTGACCCAGAACATTTCTATGACCAAACCCTTTGGCATATGGTGGACAATGCGATGCATATATATTTTTACATTAATGTATTTGACTAGCATTAGCTCATTTAATTCCCACTAGCACCCTAGGAAATGGGTACCATGGCTATCTCCATGCACTAATGAGAAAACCAGGGCTTAGATGCCAAGAAACTTGCCCAATGTCACGTCCAGCAAACCTCAGGGCTGGAAATCAAACCCAGATCCCAGCTAGGCATGGTGGCTCACACCTGTAATCCCAGCACTCTGGGAGGCCGAGATAGGTGGATCATCTGAGGTCAGTCGTTCAAGACCAGCCTGACCGATATGGTGAAACCCCGTCTTTACTAAAAATACAAAAAATTAGCCGGGCGTGGTGGTGGGCACCTATAGTCCCAGCTACTAGGGAAGCTGAGACAGAAGAATTGCTTGAACCCGGGAGGCGGAGATTGCAGTGAGCCGAGATCACATCACCGCACTCCAGCCTGGGTGACACAGCAAGCAAGACTCTATCTCAAAACAACCAAACAACAAAACCCAGGTCCAACTCCAAAACTTACACTCTTAACTCCCAAAAAAGTCTACTTAAAATTCCTAAGGTTACAACACAGTTATAAAATTAGGTCACTGTTGTAACCAAAATGATGTGATTGCAGCCAGGAAGAAGACTGGATTAAGTACAAACACCACCAGTACCAACTGTCAAATGATTCCCATGCTGCGGTCTTCCTGCTAGAATTGCACAACGCGCGTACACACAGGAGCAGGCTCGGCCTTCTATTCAAACCCAGCCCACGCCGCCTATCTCCTCCAGCGGTGAACAACTGTGTTGGAAATCCTCTGAGAAAAGCTTACCCACGGGAAATGACAGCTCAGCTCAGCAGGAATACCAGGCAGGGTCTCTAGGAACAGAGAAAGCGTGAGGCTGGATGGCATAGGCCCCATCCCTGGAAAGCTCGAGAAGACACTGCAGGCAGAGTCAGCAGCAGTGTCTCCGGCGAGGGGAAGGCAGTTATCTCGTCACCTACAACACGTTCTTGGATGCCTGGGTGACCCGTGCCTGGGAAGGTTCTGCCTGGCTAGAAATCTCGTGTTGGCCTCCAGGACTGGCTCCAGCTTAGGGAAACCACTTTCATAACATGCATGACTTCCAAGGCGGCAATCTGGCCTGACCTCCTCACTGCTGCCCAAGGGAAGTACCAGGAAGGCTCTGGAAGGACACTGGCAGCTCAGGGGTTTCCCTAAAACCAGCATGCACTTGCAATAAAGTTCATGGCCCTGCTGAACTGAGATGCAGACAAAAAAATAGCAATAATGGGAAGAAAAAAAAGCACAGCCCCTTCCCCGTAGACAAGTGTGGGCCCATCCTCTCTGTACCGTATCAGCCACATTGTTATTTAACTGCAGATATGCACATCTGTAATGTGTGCCCTTCTGCTTTTC